GAAGCCTTTCCACCCATATCATATACAAACAAATCATTTTAGACGCATAAGCATTATTGCAAGTAAAGCATAACTTTTTAATGCCTACATCCCGTTGCAGGAAAGAGAGATCTACCGTTAGATTGCGCTGAATTTTATTTTCAAAACGCACATATTTATGAAGATCACAAGGTTATTTTGTAGACGCCCATTGCATTTATAGGGAAATCACAATGGAAGAAAAGGGTACATTTTACGGTTGAACGTGATGGCATTTTTTCAAAGAAAACTTAGATCAGATACACAATACGTAACATGAAGTACATTTTAAAACAACAATGGAATTTTGTAATACCCTGCTGCTTGGCTGTTGTAATAGCAAATAATAATGGCAAATTAAAGAGTCGATTTCGACAAAAGTCCTGATGGTATCTCTCTTGAAGAAAACCTCTGTGCGTGAACAAATCATACGGTTCAGACATCGTATAAGCGCATGCCAAGGGGAATTTAGATGCCAGTACATATTTCATTTTGCCTGGGCGAATGGATAAAAGTGCACTTTTATCATAAAAAACATAATGTTTCCGTTTTAAATAGATCCTTATGTCCATTGACATAGGGTCATTAGAAAGCGCGGTTTTGTAGGATCATATTGGCACCCGTCAAAACCCCCGTTGAGAAAGAAGCGCTGATGAGATCAAAGATCAAATACCAAATAATGACAGCGAGTCGATTTTAGCAAGCAGCATGATAGCGTTTCAACAGCGCTGGGTCTTTTATCTAGAAAAATCACGTTTCCTCTTAGATTAGATGTCATGTGATTCTTGATAATAATTGCAACTTTTTGAGTCGTTGATGGTGTTTGATAGACAAGTTGCTGCAGAATTAATTGGACCCCTCCTGCGTATCATTTAGTGCATGCTGAGACAGGACTTGGCGATTATTAGCCGTGTCTTTGTTGCCCTTGGCAACAGCCCTCGAGGCCTCGTGTCGCGCGCAGGTATGACATTTGTCAGTATCGCATCTTCCCGCCACAATGGATTTAGCGAGCGGGATAATCCGGCATTGGGGGGTAGGATGCGCTAAAACCACGCAACGACACGAGCCGTTCAGAAAAGTTTAATTTCAGTCTTATTGGATTAAATATTTTAAATTCCTGAGCTCTATTTTTCAAACACCTCGTCTAAATTCATCTGATACTGCGAGGATTTGGTTAAGGTGAAACATGTCGGAGAAATAAGAGTAGGAAGGTGAAAGAGTAAAATATGTTGTGTTTAGAACCCTGAAGGGAAGATTCGCGCTGAAATAAAGGGTAACCGCATCTGTGAGTGTTTGGAGAGTGGATATGGTTTCAAGGTACATTTCTTCACGCTCGGGACCTTGGTTGTGACCTCGTGTTCGGGATTCCATCTCACGTTTAATACCTGCCAAGCTTGTTACATTAAGTGGCAAGCTGTCATTTTTTATCCGTAAGAGTTGTTTTCTCTTAGTAAACAACTATACGAGGCTTCTGGTCGAATACTTTAAGCATTCTCTCTCTCTCTCTCTCTTTCTCTCTCTCTCTCTGTGCGTGTGTGTTAGTCTGTAAATGCACGTGAATGTGTGTGTGTGTGTTCGCGCGCGCGCGTGTGTGTGTGTGTGAGAGAGAGAGAGAGTATTGATAAAGTTTATTGTCACATTTCGTCTGTTCTCTGTACAATTTTGCACAACAACCTCGTTGAACTTCGTCCCATTGGGGGGTTTGATCGTATCTGAATATAAGAAATGACGACTGTCGCAGTGCATTATTGTCAACACGACTACTTGAATTACATCATGTATGAGAAGAAAAAATATATCAACCTTCACACGGTAAAGTTACAAATTTTTCTTAAACGAGACACACGACACGCGCTTTAACAAACCAAGCTTTGTTCCTGTCTGAAATCGCCTACTAATAACAATACCCCGGGAAATATTTGTAAACCATTAAGAAATATTTGGCAAGTTTTTCTTTTTCTTTTCATTTAAAGCTGATCACGAAGAACACGCAATCTTGGATTCTTGACTGCTAACTCCCTCCATTACGTCACTTATGATATATTTGTGCGTTTTCTTTTTTAGTTAATTTTTACCATAAATAAGCCACCACACTGCGCGTGGAATACTTTACGGTTCTCTTCTCTGAAAGAACTACTGTTTGGTAAAACTAGTTTCTTTCTCCATAGAATTTATCATAAATAACGCAGCATTCGTGGAGCGGTTGAAATTATTAATGTTTTCATTCAACAAGAAGAATGACAAGGGTTTGAGATTTGACTGAATGCCCCACCTTAAATATCTTTACTTAGTGGGTATAACGAAAACCTTTCACGGCTAGTGCTGTAAAAAGGCAGGGTGGGCTATAAGTCATTCCAAGGTCGCTGATTTGCTGAGTCTGTGACAACTAACTAGCTACTGGATGTGCATAAAACTGGTCACCTTGTCATTTTAAACTACTATTTCTGGATCGTTTGCGCGCATGAAAGTGTGTGTGTGCGTGTATATATATGTGTGTGTGTTTGTTTGTGTGTGTGTGTGTGTGTGTGTGTGTGAGAGAGAGAGAGAGAGAGAGAGAGAGGGAGAGAGAGAGAGAGAGAGAGAACACGTAATAGGAATACTAGGGTAATAACCCTGAATTTATGCTGTTGCTAAAAGTAGAAGAAAGTATAGAGTGTAACGCTTACGAACATATTCATGTAAAAAAACACTTGCCTTTTATAGTCTTTCTCACGTCTGAATGAAAGTTAGCAGTCATTTTATTAGGTAATCACACTGGGCTGCATATAATATTAGCGGATGTGTACTAATTATTATTATTTTTTTTGTCATATTTTGTTTTATTTTCAGTTGGAGTTGATTTCGTGTCGCAGACGGAGACCGTAGCCCTTGGAGATACCGCTGTCCTCCACTGTAGCTTTCCAGGCGTCCATAGAATGTACAAAAACGGGCAGGTGAGGGTTCATTAGGACAAACTTTGCGTCCAAACCAGTCCTTTTTTTCACTGGAAATTGTACAAAGATGAGGAATTGAACATCGGATCTTTGGCAGACTCTGTAATCTAACAACTCGATTGTGCGAGTTGAACCGTTTTCGGTTATGATCGAGTGCTGGTCTGAACGCGCCTTTTCAGGCATGCGCACATGGATGGACACGCCTATTTCTAGATTTACGCTTGCACGTGTAGAATAATGCCCAGATGCGCTTGTGTATGTGAACATTTACAGGCTTACGCACGTTCAGAAACGCTGACATGCACGTGAGCGCGTCCACATCTCACTTATTTTCTTTAAAAATCCTTGGTCCGATGAGTTTTAATTAAAATTCGCATCTGATTTTTTTATTCTTGCTTTGGGCACACAAGTTTACAGACAATTATTGACGCAAGCGAGACTCCAAAAGACAATTTTCTTTTCAAAATATAATTTACCTAAATCAACGAATTTAGTATTCGGAACATATTGTTACGTTTAATTATACCTCAATGTCAACGCACTTATTTTCTTTCTCAATATGTGTGCTTCTTTTTGTTGTCAAAACAGACCAGGTTATTTTCGAATCCCGAAAAATGGTTTTAAAACATCCCATAATTAACTTTCTAAAGTAAGTTTATTTTGGTAAACAACGCCAAGGAGGGATTGGTAAAGCTAAATATTAGTTTAATTACCTAAGTTTATTTAACGCATTTGTAACCTCAAGGAACGCGTGTCCGTTCTCTAGGTTTCCCTACTTGTAGCATGGGCTTTAAGTGAAACAACACGTACTTCAACCTATTAACATGTTATCGTTTGTGATATTGAATTTCACGCTCAAACTTGAGGTGTTTTGACAAATGTGTTCGTGGAAGACACAGCCGGGTTACATGTACCTTTATGTTGACTATAGGTACAATGCCACTTTAAAAATTTCTATTTATTGATTTATCTATTAATTTATTTAAATCAAAAAGATACTTTCATCCTCATCAGTATTATTAATTTTATCATTAGCATTATCATTATCACTATTATTATTATTACTGATATCATTATTGTAAATAAACATGAAAATAAGATTTTCTTTTAACCACCTCCAGTAGTTTTTTCAGTGTCAACAAACAACAACAACAACAACTGCTAATCAAAAACTAACAACAAACACTGTACGTCTGTGTTGATCTATAAACATCCGATACCAAAAATGTTACTTCCTGTACCGTACCTTCAACCTTAAGGACATTACGAAAGGAAGAAAACTAAGTTCCGACGTGAGGTCATTGACTTTTATCAGAACATTGGAGATTGTCAGTTTTGAAATGATGCCGTGGCTTTGCCTCATTAACTTCATTCTCATTATAATTTCTGACATTACAATCAAAAGAAATACAATCGGCTCGAGGTACATGCGATAAGAAAAGGGGAATTGTTCAGGACGTCCATGTAATTTGTTAAGGGAGTACTTCATTTCCTTTTGAGTAAATGTTATGTCAAGTTTCTTTCAAGTTTTTCAAACCAACTTATTACCCATGCAGTAAACTTTGTAAAGCATGACATTTAATTCTTCCCAATAGGTGATGTAGCAATTTGACCCATTTCATTAGAGCCTCATAAATCAATACCGTGATTTTGATTAATTTGTAAGTTTAATCCCATCCAAAAAATTCATCTGTTAACTTGTTGGTTTCTAACTGACTTCAGGGCCGTAGCCTGAGCAAAATGCCGGGGGGGGGGGGGGGGGGGCAGGTAAGCGGACACGAGGGGGCGAAGACCCCGAGGGGGAAGGGTGTGGGAGGGGGATGATTGTCTAGTGGCCATGAGTGCATTTTCTCACAGAATTGATAACAACTATGAAATTATTTTTTTTCACCTTTGCGATTATTTTTTTGCACCTCAAATCCCAGGGGGGCAGCTGCCCCCCCTGCCCCCCCGGAGGCTACGGCCCTGGACTTACTCCATTAAACCATGGGTCTTACGATTTCTTAACTGGTACATGTACATATTCATCCATATCTGTCTACCTTTCAGGTGGACTGGGTTCGAGAGCCACGAAGTGCCGGGGATCCCGCCAGTCTTATCGCGCGAGGCAGCAGCGTCTTGGCTTTCGATAAACGCTACAAGGTCTTAACCCTACCACACTCGGCTTTCTCCATCTTGATCATCAAGAAGGTTAACCAAAAGGACGTCGCCAAGTACCGCTGTAGTCTAAGCCAGAGAAGACTGAAGCATCGGTACATTTTTCTTAACGTCACAGGTAACGGGAAGCATTTCTTGAAGCGTCATGGGTTATTGTGTAGTTTTCGTGTGACGTCATAATTAATGGGTTACAAATGTGTCGTCACTGTTTTGCCGCTGTTACGTCACTGTTTCTGTATTCGAAAGGCCATGTGTCAGGTCAATTACAGCAAAATCCAAATTTGTCACTTCAACTTTACACTGCGTTGAAAAATGAGATAAACGACATCGTCGCTGCTACATATCACGTTTTACATTTTGAGATAAATTTGAGCTTTCGATTCGTTGGAAAACTTTCAACTTACCATTTTTTTCATATCAACGCAGCAACACAGATCCAGGTCGATCGCAGTCCCGCAGAAAACAAGGTCAACGCGGGGTCAAACCTGACGATGTACTGCCGTGCCACCGGGTACCCGCGCCCCCTGGTGTACTGGACAGGAAGACTGAAGGATGGTACACCTTACAAGTTCTCTGATGGAAGGCAGGAGAAGTTTGTGAGTGATATTACACGATGTAAAGGGGTTTTCTTCACAATGGTGGATCCAGGATTTAAATTTTGTTAAGCGGTGTGGTGGTGGTGGTGGTGCTGGTGGTGGTGGTGGTGTCCAAATAAAGGGAGCAAAATATATAATCTAGTAGAGGAGGACAATTTTACTGTAATTCGCGCACAGGGATAGACAATTCCTTGTGTTTTGTCTTGTTTGCCTTATGATATTTTTTGGGTGGGATTGGGTTTGTGAGGGAGAGGGGGGGGGGGTTGTAGAAGGAGGAAAAGTCGAGAAGGAGGACAGGAGACCCACTGTGCCCCCTGGATCTGCCATTGTTTTAATTTCATGTTCACTTCCATATACCAATTGTCCAAATTGCTGCCAGAATAAAAAAAATGAGAAAATTTAATAAACCCTCTACATATCTACTGGCATTTCGATTGCACGATGCCAAACAATGTTCTGTCTATTTGATTTTGGATCCTTAATAATTGCCACGGAGGTTGAACAACAGTGGACTTTGGAATAAACCAGGAATACGTGTGTATGAGTGGGGGCAATTCTCTCCTTGCCTCCCTCTCTCTCCCGTTACAATGGTATTTGGCAACACTGTACACGTGCACATATTTCCCCAATTTTTCACGGATGCACGACTTTTATTACTTGTTTGGTTGATAAACTAAAACACTGGTATGTCCAAACAAGCGGCAAATTCCCGATCGCGTATGCCAACATTTTCCACGCGGTTACACACCAATTCTCTAATGAGGAAACTCGCTTTAAGACAAGAGGAATTCTCGAAACTCTGTAAGCATTTAAGGAAAACCTGAAAGAGAAAAAAGTAAACATCTCTTCTATGTATTTGATGAATGAGAACCAGAAGTCGCCAATGTTCAGTTTCAGAATCATTCTGGAACCTCCAAAAATTCAAGTGTGAAAGAAAAAAAGCAAATGTTACTTGTTGTGATGTATGAGAAACAGAGCTAATTAAGACAAAAGGTGGACTGCGTTTTTCCCTGACGAATGTTCATTCCAAAGTATATCCACGTGTTCTTTTGCCAAAGATCCACTGGAATTAGATTATGTTCTTTTCGTTTGATGGAGGGCTTCTTTAGGCTGGAAATGACGTCTGTACCCTGAAGTTCGAGAACGATATGTCTTCAAAATCAAATAAAGTAAACAGTAAAAAAATGACAACGACAGCAAATATTAGATAGATGAATTAGATTAATAATCAACTAAATTTAATTATATGATCAAATTATCAACATAATTAAAACAACAGACAACACAGCTCACTAAAAAGAAACACATAATGAAAACTGCAACACCGCAAAAGAAGCAAAATGTACCAGTGCAGTACAAGCAGTAAGTTATTAGAAACACTGGAAGCATGTTTTATCCTTGTGATACAGCTTTTGCCTTAAATCAAAAACAAGTGGCAAATCTTTTCCTTCATTGCAGTTTCAAAAGTCGGTGATCTTACAGGTTTAGTCAAAAGGAAAACATTTGTTTTTTCCGCGTAGGGACTGATTAGAATTCGCGAAGTACATGTCCTTATTACAGCATGTAAAGAATTCCTTAGATTTTTGTTGTGCGCTGCATTTCAGAACATTTGGCCTGATCTAACAGAAAATTTTTGATTGGAGGCCTGTACGAATATAGGGACAACATAGGATTTCTTTTTCTAGAAAAATAGTTATCACACACCAATAGTTGCGACTGTCTTAACGAGAGAGAAAGAGGAGAGAGAGGTGTGGGTGGGGGAGGGAGAGATGCAATGAATAGGGCAAGCAGTCAAAGTTAAGTAGAAACAACCCTTAGTGACAGAACCAGCCACTGAAGACTAGCATGATAATAGATGTAAACTCTAAAGAAGTAAGAGGGTACAGGTTATAGATAATCGTATGTAGACGCTCTTCTCTATCTCTTTACCAACCGTTTATTGCATTCCTTAGACAGCCTTGTTTGTTTCATCTTACGCAAGAATTGCTAGCGTATTGAAACACCATTATACGGGAGAGTAACTCTCAGCCGGATTGCGTTACAACAATCAAATAAGGAAAATGCGGAATTTAACCAGGGGAAACTATACCGAAATCGTTGTAGCTAAATATGAGTTCCCTCTTTCTGTTTTACAATGTATATTTTGAATTGTACAGAGGAACAGTGACCTACAGGTATCAAGGACATTGACACGTCAAGGTCACTGACCTACCGAGGTAATTAACCCGTTAAGGTCACTGACCTACCAAGGAGGGGAGGGGAGTGATCACTGGTTACCACATGCTCAGTGAAACATAGCGTTGGGACCACGTGACTTCCACCTTGTCGCCGCGTTCTGACGTTGTTATATTGCGGTAAAGGGATGTTTATTTAGGTGATATTTATCAATCCTTTTTGTGACGGAGAAAGTCAACGGAGGTTGTCTGGGAGCTAGGAGAGCAAAGTGAACATTATCCAGAAGAAAGGACATTCCAGTTCTGGTCCGTATAGGCATCCTGTTTATTTTTATGACATTTATTTCATTTCATTCTTCCCGTATTTTTGAATAATTATTTTCCTATTGTGTTCAGGGAGATACACTCACGCTGGAAAACCTCAACCCGCGAGATACGGGCACTTTCACGTGTCACGTGGAGAACTTTGTGGAACCAATCGAACGCAAGCATTTTACAGTCACGGTCAGAGGTAGGGTGTGTGTGTGTGTGTGTGTGTGTGTGCGTGTGCGTGCGTGTATGACCGATTTCATATTATCATTATTATTATCAAAATGCAAATGGTTTTGTATTTTGTAGCGTAAATAGCTGGCAAATGCGATATAGTATCGTTTAGAGCTCAGTAAATTTTCAAAAGTGTGGCATTAGAAATTTATGAGTAATTACCGTAAATAACTCAGTGTTTTGGTATTGTTTATTTATCTATTTATTTATTTATTCCAGATCTCCCCTGGTATTTGCACAGTTACCTCCAGGGTTTCAACATCCGGCATTTCCTCAGCTCATGGACGCCCAAGCCTGGGTTCGGAGAGGCGGTTATGTTACGCTGTGAGACGGCCGGGATCCCCAAGCCAAAACTCACCTGGTATAAGGACGGGAAACCAGTCAGGGAGACATATGAACTTTCCATATTTGTAAGTAGAATTTGTCTGTCTGTCTGTCCGTCCGTCTGTATGTGTCCATCACTCCCCCTGCCCTCTCCCCCTCTCTCCCATTCCCCCCCCTCCCCCTCTCTCTCTTCATTTGTCTCCCTATAAGTCGGTCCATTGCACCAACAGTTATTAAAGATTATAGTATCCTCTGCAAACCAAAATATCTAATCTGAGGGTGTTATGGTATACATATTGAAAGAGAGGGGGGAGCTCAACACACACACACACGCACACACACACACACACACACAGAGCTCAACACACACACACACACGCACACACACACACACAGAGCTCACACACACACACACACACACACACACACACACACACACAGAGAGAGAGAGAGAGAGAGACGAAAGGAGAGAGAGATACGAGGAAATGTCGACAGGCTGGAGTAGTCTAGACACGGAAGCGCGACACAAATAAGCAACCCGATGAAATCGTCTTTCAAAATTTCACGTGAATTTCTATACGGAAAAGACAGCTCCCCGTCATTTGAAACCTCTTTGTTTGCACTTTTTGTAACAGTTAAAAAACGTTTGCAATGATAAACCTAGGTGTATATATGTTGCATTATCATAAATACGTCGCCGATCAAAAGACTTATGTTACTAATGTCGCACAGACGCCTATACCGGTGATAGATTTATCAACTGTATCATGGTAAGTTAGACAGGAAGAAGCTGACTTCAAGTTGCCTTAGTTCTGTCCAAGACCGACTGTTTTGAAACTGTTGTGCGGTGCAAAACTCTAAAAACGGCAAAATTGATGAATATCAGTAAAATATTTAAACGTATAAACGCACAAAAATGTCGATTTATGGCACATTTTAAAATGGGCATTTTCGAGATTGTGCCTCGTGTCAAACTTTGCTATTCTTAGATGGTTCTTGTGTGAACATTCTTGCGAGCGTCCCATATTGTTAACATCGTGACAAAATTGTTGCCTGTTGACCAAAAAGACGGAGACAGAAAGATCGAATATCGCGATTTTCGCGCCTCATTAAAGCCACCTCTGCTCCTCTGATGTTAATCACAATGCATAAAGGAGAATTACGATACAATACTCGCTCACAGCGGAGAGCGCGCAATAAAGTAATGGTAGTCCTTTTTTTGTAAGCTATGGTTATTCTGAAACTTGACGGGTGTCAGACGTATAAAATAATCGTTGTGACGGCTTCACGGGCGTTTAAGCATGTCAGAATAACATTGGTGAATAACCCTTTTCCTTGTGTGAAGTATGGGAATCTTTGTGGAGGTGGGTTTTTTCTCCCTCTTTTTTGTTTTGGCGTTCTTTCTTTCTTTCTTTCTTGCAGCTTTCTTTGATATTTGCTGCAGTTTTTCACTGGTACATAGTGCACTTATTGTCAGTTTGAATTTGTACGGTTTTTAAATAATTTTCTTTGGCATCTCTCTCTCTCTCCTCCTTCCAGTCTCTCTCCCTCACACACACACATACACACACACACACACACACACACTTTCTCTGTACGGGCACTTTTTATCCGCTGTTCTTTACATCTTATATCTGAACCTTCTAAATGCTACTCAAAAAACGTAATCGGACTATTCAGTGTAATTCAACGTCTGCCGTTCCTACGGACAGCTTTTAATTCCCTGTCAAAACTATTGATCAAACTATTCATTTTATAAGACTTTCCAAAGTCTGTACAAGATCCTAGTGTTTTATGAACGCCTTGGTAACACCCATGCGGTGCGCGTATGTCCAATTTTTTCATAGAACGAATGACTGTACTCACGTTCACAAACATTTGGAGTGACTCTCTAAATTATTTAAAGTGACATCTCTTAAAAGTTGTTAAACGTGGGTGGTGCCCGTAAATTTGTCATGTAAATTGAAATATCGTTTAAAAGGTGACTCCTCTTTTTAAGAGATATTAAGGAAATCGAAACTGGCATCTTGGTTATTTTCTAAAATAGGAGGATAAGGTCGTAAATCTGTCACGTGTCAAGATAAGCCGGCGTGCGACCTGACAGGGTCACGAGCAAAGGGCGGTTAATCACACTGGATTAGAACTTGAATGTACAGATAGCCTCTTCAGTTATTAACACATACTCTACAGTCATCTAGGTAAATTATGAGACCCCTTTTTAATAAATGTAAGGGGTAGTCAAAAACATCTTGGCAAAGGCCCCATTGCAAATAAACAAATAAATGGATTTAAAGAAAAGAAAAAAGAAAACGGGATGCAGCCTAAATTTCTCGCAATATACTTTACAATTACAGTCAATGATTATGGGTGAACTTTCATCTACGGTCAACTGCAAATATTTTGAATTTTATTGATCTTTTTACACTAGAGAACAGAAATCAATTATAGCAAGGCAACATTTTGGTCTCCAAATAATCAAATCGCTACTTGAAAAGATGCTTAAGTCTCCCCTAACTGTCAAACCCAATTTATGACCTTTGTTTTTTAATACAAATATATTTGACGTTCCTTCTGTATATTACAAGTAGCAGAAAGGGGAAAGGGTCCGACACAAATTTATTACAGGTCGTAGTCATTCACGACCTACCGCACTTCTGCGACATGACACATCCATCTTTTTAAACAGTTTTAAGTCTTTTAAGTCACCAATTTAAACTTGTCAGCTTTCAAGAGAAACCGGGGAACACTGGAAGAATTGGCAGATGCCAGTTGGCGGGGGACAGTATATCATTCCAATATAGAACACGTAGAATCTAAATTGCCGTTTGACTACAAATATTTGAAAGGATTTTTTATGAAATGAGAAAAAAAAAAAAAAAAAAAAAAACAGCTGACATTACCTCACATTTACCGTAATGGGTAAGTTTGAAGTATCGCAACAAGAAATACACACAGATATGTAACGGAAATGGAAAAAAGACCCACAACAAGTGAATGTCACTTTATTTATTTATTTATTTATTTATTTATTTATTTATTTAATTGACCGCCTACCTCTTGTTCTTCTTCAGACTTACACTCCATCCTATCGCCCAAACTACGTCAACTCGAGAATAGATATTAAAAACTTTGGTCCCCACCACCAAGGCAAATACACCTGTATGTCCAGTAATGAGATGGGATCTATGGAGAAATCTATGACGCTTATGGGTAAGCCTATTCTGACATTTTATTAATAGTTTGTAAAGACCGTAGTATTGGTATAATAAATTTTAGTAGATTTTATTGTATACTTTATATTATAAATAAATAAATAAATAATTGTTGTTATTACTGATATTATTATTATTAAAGGGATAATAGCTCTTCGTATGAGATTTATATTTTGCAATAAAAACATTGTGAATAACTCACAGAAATATAATATATTCTGTTTTACCACAAAAACGGCAGGTATAACTATTTTTTCTGATATCTGAGCTTGTCCTTAGACCAAGATGACCTCCATTGATGGCTATGCTGTGTTAAAATCTCTTAAGAGATTTTAACAAAAAAACAAACTTTTTAGAAAAAAACCAGGGACTAACTTTGAATGTAAAAATTGATTCATAAACCATTGGTCAGTATGGGAAAATTGTTGTTTACTCCAGGAAAATTAATTTTTTGGCCGAAACGAAAAGTTATTATCCCTTTAAATTGTGTGCAGTGCTCTCGTCATCTATTGAAAATAACGAGGTTTGTGGGTTTGGTTGGAGTGGGCGAGCGCTCTCCAGTAATTAGGTTAAATTCATTAAGTCCACCTGAAGCTATACATTTAAAAAGGAAACGAAAAGTAAAAATATTTAACATAGGAAAATATAGGCCTATTTAAAAAAGGCATAAGTAGGCCTATCTCAATGAAGAGAAAAGATGACATTTTTATTATTATTACTCATGGTCTGATACGTTTATTTACAGGAAAGAAGGATGTTGTTGGAGGGAATCAGTTACCGCAAGTTTTGTTGTCCGACTTTCCGACAGACGATGAAGACATCGTACGAGGCCTGAAAAAGACGAACAACAACAAACAAGATGGCGCACCTGACGAAGACGATGATGAAGGGAGCGGAATGGACACTGGACGAAATTCGTCTTCCAATGCTCAGAGAAAATTTGATTCAAAGCCTAGCTTTCCAATAACACGAGATCCTAATAGTGACAGACGGCCGTTTTACCGTGGTGACAGACGACTGTCATGGCGCACGTCACGTGCAAGACAATACCGCGGCCGAGTCCCGCAAAATGTAAGACACTACAACAGCAGACGATGGGGCGTGCGGACGTCGGGGAACTGGAGGAAAAGTGGAAGATCATCACAAACGCAGACGAACTCTCGTCGCCCATAATACAGTTGCTTGTATACGACAAAAAGATTCTGTTTTGACAAGAAAAATGTTCGTAAATCCTAAAAAGAGCTGTAAATAGTAATGATTTTGGGTTTGCGTGCATGTCAGTGACTTCTACATAATTTGGCTTTTCTATCACCGAAAAGATAAAGTTTGATACTCGTTGCTGTCATGCACAAGTGATTTTCAGATAGATAGCATTTGGTATGTCCAGTTTGGACAATGATTATAACAACTAACCATTCTATTCATCTGTGCCTAAAACCCAATCACAGTAGAGTCATTGGCGTAACTAAAGTAATTGAACGATGGATAAAATAATTAAGCACTTTTCTTGTCTTTGAAAGATGCATAGCGTTTCCGGAGATAAGGCAATCATGACGTCACGTGCTAGCTCCCGAAGAAGAAGAAGAAGAAAAAAAAAAAAAAAACGAGGGAAAGTATTCGCCCATGGATACAGTAAAGAAGTAAACGCATATCAACCTTGATTCGTTTTTATTCAGCAATATTTCCTTTGCCTAATGCAATTAATGTTTTGTACATAGACCTATTCTCTCTGTAAATATTAATTGTCAATTTGCGTGTATATGGTTTCTATATATATATCGGGGGGGGGGGGGGGGAGGGGGGGTCTGGGTTTGTGCAAGCTTGATGTTATAAGTTTTATAAAGCTAATTCAAATAGTTTAATCTCACATATGATTGAATGAAATTGTATTTATTCCGATGTTGTTTCCAAATTTGTGTTTAAAGATGGAATATTGAAAGTCTGTAGCGACACATAAGATGCAACAGCAATATCCACGGGTCAAAATGTTGAACTAAGCAAGTGTTTGGAGTGTGTTAGTAGGGATTCTGCTTTATTGTGTCGGATGAGAATGTAGTTGTGACAAAATGCACCCATGCATTGTAATGAAAACGGAAATGATGACGTGCACGCATATAATAAATTGATTTCTCTAAAAGGCATCTCTTATTCTTTTTGTAATGAGGTTTTGTAGATCATATGACTAATTTTCCTGGTGCTGTCTTCCATTTCATATCCATTGCAGTAGAAAAAAAAAACTTATTTCCAGTTTTGGCAGCGAAATATGTGCATCTTTACCGTTATGTTGTTCTTCGAGATCCCCACAGCTATAAGAGCAAGGGTTGCGTTTTGTGTTTCAAATTGCTGCTCAGAAATCAATCAAGAGTTTCAAAGTCAAATTTTCTAGAAAACTAAGCTCCATGAATTAAGCAATATCAAATTTAATGAGACGTTTGTGCCTGGCGACAGTGGCTTCGTAATAAACACTGTTGGGTCTGAGCCGTGCCCTCCCCTCCCCCCCCCCCCAACAAAAACTCTCCACTGGTTACGGTTTTGTGCCATTCTATCTGCTTCAAACATGGACACACATTGTAAACGTATCCACAAACCTTAACTTGAGGACTTCACAGCGGACGCCTGCAATCAGGCACGGTAATTCTTAAAGGAAGAGTTAAGAAGGAGTTGAAACATCTTTTTTAGGAAATCTTTATTGCAGATTATGTGGTAATTGTTTTTACGAGTGAATAAGGCTGTTTTTATCTAAAATCACAATCTTCTACATTTTTTATTTATGTTGATAATTATTTCCTTAGTGCTTCTCTCTTTTTATACAAAGTCTACCGAACATTTTAAAATGGACTTTACACATAAAACAAATATATTATATATCGATAAGATCTTACGTAACTGATCACCTGTTAGAAATGCACCCCCCACCTTCCACTTGCTGACACTGTATGACGGTCATCTAATCTCGACTAGCGTGAAAAAGAGGTCGGGTCAATGACGAAGGTGAACTTTTAATACGGATTATAACATCAAGATAACCTCATTCTAGAACGAGCAACCAGGGGCTTGGGGTTTTAGGAAATCAAACTTTATCAATAAATAAAGAGGCTCGGTGACTCGAAAAATGATAATGTTCAAAGGTGTACTTTCCATGCCACGAATGCTTGATATGCCTACCCAATACCCAACTGTCGACATTGCACTGTTTGTTAATGAGGGGGGGGGGGGGGGTAATAAAATTAACAAATAAAAAGTTATCGTAACTGGGATATCAAAAGAATGACTAAACTTTTTTGTTTTATTTTAAAAAAATCTTTAATGGTCCTGTTAATGTGTACCCAGACCTCATATTTGATATGTAGTAAATTCAATTTTATTCAATTTGAATCTTCGATCAAATTTATTGTTTTTTCCAATTGTACTACAGTAGCCGGTATCTGACCCTTTCATTCTTTGGGCTTACGTTTGATAGATCCTATATTCCAAGGAAGGGTCTACCAGATCCGCCCACTTCCAACAGTACCAATTGCTTCCTGTCAGTAAAATTACTAGTACTTATTACGTACCACCAATGTTTGGCTCTAACTCTGACTACTTTTCATTGTGAAGTCTTAAAAAAACTTCAAACTTTTCAAAAACACGTGTTTTTGAGAACGTACCTGTATACCCAACTTGCTGGCCTGTAATCAAGACCCTAAATTAATCATAAACAACTGAATCACTTTTCATAGATTGATCATGGACAGGAAGTTATTCCGATAAATTAGAAACCTACAAATTTACAATAGCAGTTCCCCCACCCAGCAACGAGTTTCAAGGCCACGAAACTAAATCCCACATTGCATTTATATCGGTTAGATAACAGGACCTGGGCCCAATTTCTAGCTGAACAATAGCTAGTGTATCGTATTAAATTGACTCTTTTCACCCTGGATGCCAGAGTTTGATAATCTTCATTATCAGTTCTCTGTCATTGCGATTTTTCAAAACATACTTAACCCAAAAAATACTTATTTACAAGTAATATATTCACAAGTATTATGGACAGATGTCTATGTTATAACAGCTAGTGGATGCTGAGGGGGTGGAGGTGGGGGTGGGGTGGGGGGGGGTGGGGGGGTGGGGGGTCAGAGAGGATGCTACTGGGTGATATACATGTACCCAGTAATGCAAGAGCAGCGATGCCAATATTCTGAATTTACTACCCGGTAGCAATTCAGAATTAATTAAGAACTTCATCGGATGAAAGCATGCTGATAACAAAGTTAAATTTCTATTAAACTCTGAAACACAGGGAGCTTCTTCTGTGTCAACCTTGACCCTCCGGTGACACTAGTGTGATTTAAATACAAAGAAAACCAAACCAAAGCCTTGTAAGGGAGGAAACTCGTGCTAAGAGAGTCATTAAATAATCTTTACAAAACAAGGAGGCTCGCCTCATGTGTCTGCAATTGGCAAGTTACTGAGACGACCCATTCATAGTATTAGAATGTGAAACTGAAAAGATGCATTGTACCTTGGGATTCAGGCAAGACAGAAATATATAAAGAAATACAAGTAACTGTGATTGCGAAAGTTATGCATTATTGACTTTATCAGAATTCCGAAACCCAGGGTGTCAGAAAGCGCACCGGTATGATGACATTGATAATCAACGCCAATACTCCTAAACTCGTAGCAACAAAAGGCTTTAAGTATGTTAAACATAAAAAAAGGCAATTTCATTGCCCAGAAGACTAGAATATTCTGAAACACAGTGTGACAAAAAGCATATGGTGAAAAAGTACAGGTATAGATATTGGTCACCGACACTTATCTGAAACTCGGGATGACAGAGAATAACTCAGGGTCCAAGAAAGTCAACGTCAGAACCCTGAGAACCAAAGTGTCTTACGCATAATAGCAATATGATAAATCAGTTAATTACAAGGTAGAACTACAGAGCGAGACGCATTGGGAGAAAAATAGTGATGGATTGCGATTCGTTTTGATAGTTTGTCTCTGAGATATCTACATGTGTCAATACATGTACTGGTTGACCTCTTTACAACTGGTTTATCTTAACTTGAGTTTCAACCTTGATTTTTTTTATCAATTGAGAGGGTAAACGATAATTGGTGCTATCATTTTACGTTAAACCCCACGCCAATTATAGCACCCCGCGATAGATTTTCTTCATATTTTGGGGTGATTAATGTTTTTAAAGTACATGCAAGTATAAACCTTGCTCGAAAAACCATGTTAAGGCATCCGCTTGGCGTATACAGTGCGGTACTTCAAAGCACATGTGCATACTAGTAATACATATACAGTAAATGTACTTGCAGATTTTGTCTTGAACTGCCAACCGCCAAGGACAACTTTGACCTACATTTTGCCCGAAATAGAGGTCATTTGAAGGTCAGAAATGAACGACAGGTGGTTATCTTATCCCAGTAAGAGTACACCTGTTGATGACACCTTAGGTGTTAGTGGTATCTCTTTGAGCAAACAAATACAATGATAGATGTGAACCGGGGTAGTGAACGTACAGGAGACGCATTTTTATTGATTCTTTAAAATATGCTGCCCAATGGCGATTTCATAATATGCGACCAAGATTCATTCTTAGAAAGTAAACTGTAGCCTATTTTTACAGACTGAATACAATATCACCACAGAATCACTCACAAGAGCATCTCAGAGTCTTTATTAAAAAATGAGTTTTCGCTCGAAGACAAAATCACCAGGGACTACCAATCAGGATACAACCGAGTAATTTCGACCTTTTCCGTCGCATACTGGCAATAAGATTGCAATTGGTTTGTGATTGGTTGAAAGGGAGAGGGGGGGTGTGCAATGCGGCCGAATAATTATGTGTGCGTACGTGCAGGCTATGGACGTGACATCGAACTGTTAATTTATCATGTGTTTGCGTGCATGCACTTTTCTCGTTCCGAAATTCTGCAGTTCTACAATTTTGCAATATTGAACATTTCGTTTACTAAGACGCCAAGAAAGCCGAGAGTTTAACAGAACCCGCAAGCCAATGGCAATCGGTTTCCAAAATGTTAGAAGATAAAATATACCACCTTTAGGGCTGTTTGGTTGCAAACCGGGCAGAACAAACATTTTGAAAATTCATAAACAACATTTAAACACTTTAAAATGTATTTTCACAAGTAACTGTGTCTCTTTGGTTAAGTGTCGTGATGCCCCATACACAGCCGGTTCACTGTGACCAGTGACCACGCTGAAAAAAAATTATATCCTAAATACACAAAAAGGGGGTACAATATCAACCTCTTTTGAATCAAGGGTCGCTGAACCCCATTAAAATAACGTGTGTTTATTTCGAATTAATAGTTTTCCATGACGACATCAAAGCGCCGTGCGGCGTCCTAGTCTATTCAAGTCCGACAGTGAGTAACGACGTTCCGATTCGCCACCATCAACTTCTATTAACTACACAGAAAAAAACTAGATCTCGGACCGTGCCATGGGCTTCTGTCAATGTGGTTTTGTCCATTTTAATTATCTTTCAGTAGGTGCAGTTTTCGCCGCCCGACACTATAAACTTTACCGCGACATTTTTGTCCCGCAAGAAACATCGTTTGCTGACGCATATCGTACGGAAGGAAACGTCGTTCGCGCAAATTGAGCAAATGATTCCCGTTTTGAAATTTCGTTTTGGAAAGCTCTCCCCCCCCAAAAAAAGCCCAGATTTAATACGACAAAAAAGTCTTCAATGGCCGAATAGTTCCCCGTTTGTAGTTGTTTCTCGTTGTGAAATGCCCTGCATCTTCATAACCATGCATCTTTATTGAAGAGATAGACTCGACATTTTACGTGTTTAAAAGTTAAATAGAAGCGTGTGACATGACTTGTGTACACAACCATTCCACAGCAAGGGTAATATATTTACCCAGTAAAGGCACAGCCCAAAATAGCTTTAATGACGGAAAAGTACCAGCTCTTGTTTACATTTAAGTTGGTATAATAAATAATAAAAAAAAAATGTATTTCACGTCTCAGTGACCTTTACAAGTGTACAACATAGTGGCGGTACGCATAGTCGAGTCTCAATGAAAAAAAGTCATAAGCTTTATTTCATGAAGTAGAAAATTGATTGCAACTGCCCACTGCAAACTCTTCAAACTCAAACGCTGCTCAAAATGCCGTCGCCGTTCGTAAAAAAAGACCTGTTTTTGGGTGCAGCTATTACTGCTAACTCGGATAGCTGGCTACACTAAAGTCACTTTTCGTCACTTGTCTAGAAGTATTTCTAAACGTTTTGCCCCTAATGTATTAAAAGTTTTGATATCTTAATGGGCTATCATCACCACTGAGAACGACAATTATTGTCACAGTAATACACATCTTTTCTTTGGGTACAATTGAAAAAAAAAACACCAACCAACCAACCAACAAACAAATAAAAACATTGGAAGGAAACAGTATTTTGTAACACTTGTCAAAACGCTACTTTGCCGGCTAACTTCTGAAAAAACTTTTATCGCTAAGACCGTTTTGTGAAAAAGGCCCCTGAATAGGACTTTTCTATACAGAAGCGCTTTTCTCTTTCATCTTATACCATGGGACGTACAGACGTATTGTAATGGACTGACAGCGGCTCTCTCACTAGTGCATCCAGAAGGTTGTCCTCTCCTTGACCGTTTCACAAACTGACCTTCAGAGCACTGATCACGAAAGTTGTTCTTTCCCATGCATGTATAGACTGGGTTCTCATACATAGATCGATCCATCTGGATCGATATATAAGGCTCTATTCCCAGAGCTTTTAGATCGATCTATCCCCGCGGGGAGTCTCACTAGATTACTGTCAGATAATCCGGCTTAATTGTCCGTCCCGCCTACTACAAGCTGTAAGGGGGTAATTAACTATGGTGCCCGCTCGGCTGACTGCAATTTAGCGTGAACCCCCAGGGAGTTAGGTCGATCTAAAGTAGATCGATCTAATCTCTGGAAATGGGGTCTTATACCCTGGGATGTCCCACTAAATTGCTGTCAACCCCAAAGGTGATTCGGTAGGAGTGACTGACATAAAGCCGGTTACATTGATAGTTATTTAGTGAGACTCCCCAGGGAGTAAGACCGATCCAGATGGATCGATCTAAGCATGGGAATCCGGTCTAATTTAAATGACCACATAAAGACGTCTACTGTAGGAGTCTGGGTCACTGAACAAACATTTCTGTCCAATCTTTCTGACCGCGGTCAGTCAAACATTGATAAAAGAAAGATGGACATGTATATGGACATGTATAACGGACATGTAAATTTGCACACGGTTATGTAAAGATAAAGAAACATATTACTTAATGATAAATATTGCGACACGGCAGGTTTGGAGTAAAAAGTGGGTCAAATGACACTGTTACATAATCCTTGACGTCTCATGGCCCTGTTACACAAAACGGCCATAGCCCCCCCCCCCCCATTTTGTCTTTAACTCTTAGACCCAATTAAAACTTTAAAACTTTGTCTACTTCGGTTTAAAATAGATCTGCAAAATGTATTAGTTTAACTTCAAAATTGCAAAAGGTCAGTTATATTGCAGTTAACGTACGAATGTGACAGTTTATTATTAATTAATGGGATAAAAGACTTAAAACGTACATAAACAAGTGAAAAAATTGTAACATATAGCTTCTGAAGCTGGCACATTTAACGTGCTGATGTTGACTAAGGGGGAAATTACCATATAACGATAATAACTAAAATTTAATTTAAATTTTAAATATCTGTGATAATGTTTTCTGATCGTTTTTACAGTTTTAACGCTCTTATCTTACAACTACAAGAGCGGGACTGCGACATTATCCACCAACAGTAATAGAGAATAACCGTATTATGTAGTTTCAATACAAAACCCTTTACAGCTTTAGCTGCACATTGCTTATTGTCCATTCTCACACTTCTGTCAGTTTTTTGGACTTTAAGATTACAAAATCATATCAAAATTAGTGTGTCGTTAATGCCATACTTGCAGGAAGCTTAGGAGACTTAATGTGCGTGGGTCCTGTATCCAGTTGATTTTTTTTCTTCGTGAGAAAATATTATGATTCATCTGCATTCAGTTATTGCAGAATCTGTTGAATTATGCTTAAACCTTTTCAAGGCCTTATCTTACGTGTAAATGAAAGAATGTATTTTCTTTTATGGCATAATTCCATTATGATTAAAATTGCACTGCTAGGAATAGATGAGTGTCACGACAACATCGGACGTAGTCCAAGGCATAGAAACCGGAACCGGAAACGAATGTTTGGTTGCTACAGCCATAGCGGATGCGTCTCATCCAACACTCATATTTTTACGTGATCTGAACACGTCTCTAGCTGCCAGCGGGATAAACAACAGAATGATCGACCCAAGCAGCAAACATCCACCTAGAAATCAAATGAATAGCAAATAAAGCCATTAATTTCGTAGGTCCCCGTAGCTATAACCACGTCATTGACAAGGAAGCGCAATACGTCAATATTATTTCTTTCTAGTTTTTTTTTCTTTTATATAAAATGCCTTATGTTGTTGACATTAATGTCAAACGTTATTAATCATAAATGAAACCTATTTGCAGTAGCGATTAGCATTGAAAAATATCTTTGCATCATTATGCCAACTTAAATTATAAACCGGATACTTGTTACCTTGAAACAAGAATCTTACCTGCAATATAAAAGGAGTACTGGTAGTCTTGTGTGATGTCGTACAAATAACCTGGAATTGTAAATAAAAACTACTTTTATTCATTACTTAAATAGGGGTTACAAGTGCACAAAACATGTGAAATCACAAATTCGTGTGCGTTGGCAAGCTGTTCACAGCGAGTTTCAATTATCTGAGTGTTAACTATTGGAAAGCGTCTAAAACCATTGCCATGCTAGGGTAGTTTTGCTTTCACTGCATCATCAGCTACATGTATAATTCAAATATCGCGTGAAAAGACGAGAGTTTTGAGAGAAGCCATCCCTATTGACTCACCTGCAACGGGCGGCGCTATGAAGAACCCAATGCCATCCAGCAACATAGCGTATCCATAGGCACTGCTCAGAGAGGCCACGTCCATCAGGCGGACGATCATCGGCGCCATGAGGACGACAAAACACGTGATATACACCCCAAACCCGGCCGCAAACAGAACCTGGGTGATGTACGAACCAATCAGCAACGGCGTTGAGAACGCAAAGAGGGCGCTGTACCCCAGGGAGACAAAGAGCATCACCAAGGGGTCAACAACCTTTGGGTCGTTGGCTGCTGCTCCTGTCAGGAGACAACTAAACAGGCTGCTGGCACCCCATATTGACACCAGGGTGGACGCCTGGAATTCCGTCGCTCCGCCCTGTTTGACGGCGTATGCGTTAACGTGAACGTTGACAATGGCAAGTCCCATCGAACGTAAAAACATGGCGCCGACAAGGAGCAAGAAGCCGGCATTTTTAAGTACCTTTAGGTCAAGAAACCTGAGGCTCATTTGACATTTGACTAAATCCTCCTCCTGGGTTAGAGCTCGCTTCTGTGGTCGCTCTGGTATGATGGGAGGTCGCATGAGGGCGCCACAGACGCAAAACTGAAGGCAGAAACCGGAAATGACGAACATGGAGCCCCGCCACGTGTAGTAGTCTGTGAGGAGTTGTAATATTGGCGGCAAAATGAACTGTCCAAAGGACAGACCGGCTGTGGCTACTCCTAGGGCTAGGGAGCGTCTGTATTCGAAGTATTGTCCAGCGATCACCATTGTGGGCGTGTAGACAAGTCCTATCCCTAGACCTGAAAGACAAAAAAGTTATACGTAGCCTTTAAATTGCAGTTTACTAAATGATTCCTTTACAAGGTAATAGCCGGGGACACAAATCACTTATAATATTCGAAATACCATCGGTCAAATTTTTTTAAAAATCTCTAAAAGCTTTTTAACGTTTTAGGATAACATTTCACACTGATTAGTAGTTCATTAAATCTGTGCAAAATTCACGTAATCAACGCCTGTGTCGGTGTGACAGGAATCATAGTCCTAGAAATGCAAGGCCGAGGTCCCATATGATAAGTTCAGCTCATGGTTAACCGTAGTTACAGAGTTCAGTACACACATGTAGGACAAAAATCCTGTACAACTTAATGATATGTGAAACAGTTCCTAGAGCGGACTATCAGTTCTGTCACAACTGCCATATACCCAGGCAAATCCAGAAGTGAAATATTTCACTTGTCATTCAACAAATCAAGTCACTTATCTTAGAGCAATAATACGAGATTTATGTGAAATTGAAAAGCAACGAAACTGAAAATTGAGTTCTATTCACCATACAGCACAACCACCATGTTATCAAAAACATAGTAGTGGCAATACGGGGCTATTGAGAGTACTAAGGGATCATTACCAATAGCACTATCGACCTACGTAGAGCGACCCAACTCACTGGGGAGTTTGGCTGAATCCCCTCTTGAAATTAGAATTTTGACTCGCTGAATCATAGATCTAAACCGTACTAAATGACATCGTTTGCCCTCCAAAACGACAATTTTTGTTTCAAGGGGACGAGGGTCTGCTTTGCATCCAAGGCCTGTCATTACTAAAAAACAGGTCCCCCCCTTCAAATAACCCTTATCTGCCCCAGTAGCAGACCCCATCAGCTGATCACGACTGATGACACACGACCCATGCGTTCCTACATGTAGCATGGGGTTTATCTTTGATAGTTCTTGTTCGTAGTGGTCAGATGATGCTCACTAGATATCCTGAAAGTCGTGGTACATGTCATTTCAACCTTGCACTAAGTGACTGCGGATGGCCTTGACCTTGACCTATATTCAGAAAAACTGTTCTGTTGATCATGATCTGTGCACAGACTGTACATTTAACAACGTATGTCCCCAATTATGTATTTTATCTTCAGCTTTTTATGATTGTGTTTATCAGTGCAACCATGGACGTTTCAAAGCTGTGCACACAAGTGTTCACGACAAGAAAACAAACGTCTTTTATTAAATATAGACATAAATTCAAATTGGAGCTCTTGTAATGAAGCTAGATGTTTGATATTTCTCCATATTCACATGGCTTCAATACCGTACATATATGTAGATATATACTTACAAAAAGGCAAGGGGAACCTCCCCCCCCCCTTTTTAAAATTAGTGCAATCAGTACAAATCACTTAAGCGCATAATATTATTGTTAAAAGAAATAGGATGGGTGGCAATTATATTGACGTAATAGATACCCCACCCCCAAAAAAGATGAACTACAGCTACCTGTACTATAGACAATTTCAATGATATCAGCTTTAATAAGAACATTTCATTGTGTTCGCTGTACCTGCTAGTACTTTATTTATAATAATGTGGTCACACATGATTGCAAGGACGGTTGAACGTGTGCTTTTGACTAGTAGCCTCTGACAGGGGGACAAAGCACAGACGCTCGCATGAATATTCTAAATTCAAGAACTGGTTAATGCCAGCCGTCAAGGACGCTTGGAGATAATAGCAGTGCACGTAACTCAGTGCAAGGCTGCAGACAATACGTGACGAAATCATCGAGTGCAGTTTAGCTGCAGGCCAGTGTCATATCTGTGTGTTTGAGTCTCTTGTAAGTATACAAGACCGACAAGCTCACGGAGATACTGGGGGTTACCAGGTGCATCGGATCATTACGCAAGTTTGCGTCGACGTTCTCCGCGTAGAGAAACTAATTCATGAGGAGATTTCTTAACATGAAGACGAGTCAACGTCCCCATTTGAATAGGTTCATTTTTACCAAAATATATAAGGCAGTACAGAGTAGGGCCTCATTCCAATATACACAATATCGGTCTACGTAGATTGATCCAGTTCCGCGGAGACTCTCGCTGAATGCAGAAAAAAAACAGCAATTATACGAATACGTGGGAAACAAGAGCTGAGTATCTCATTTAAGCTGGTGGCACTCAGCGAGAGTCCCCGAAAGGTTGGATCTGCGTAGACCAATGGTGTCTATGGGAATTATTTCTTACTAGTCTGAGCCCCATATAACTGCAAAAGAGAGTACCTCTCCTTCACATTCACACCCGCACTGTGTCACGGTCTTTCCACGAAAATGGGAAATGCACTTATCAAGCAGACAATAATGGCCTTGGGTAGTGTATACGGTGTTACAAGCTGTCTGCGTGATTGTGATCGTATTACTTCAAGGACATACGTGTGTGTGTGCACTCTGTGTGCTTTTCATGGCCTATTTATAACCTGTCTCGATTTTCGATTACTGGACATATTTGTCCGTCTGTAAAATCGTTATAATAAAGCAGACTTATCAGACAAAGGTATACGCCCACTTTGATAAAAGCGAAAGTGAATATATTAATAAAACGCGCATTGCACAAATCTATGTATTAGATAAGAACATAAGGGAGAGAGAAATCCCCGTTTTTAAAACACTGATATTTTGAATTATGCTGATACGCATGATCACAAGAATAGACCATAGAATATGAACAAAAAATAACATAAAATGAATAAAACAAATTATCACAAATATAACATTTTAATGCTTAAACTTATTTTCAGGCCACGCGCTATTCAAAATCCGTCCACGCCAACACCACGTGACAAACAGTCAACTCACCAATCAGAAATCCATACGTAACCAGCAGGTATTGGATACTGGTGGCGTAGGCACTTATTATGCATCCGGCCGCGGCTATCACCCCTCCCGCCATCACGCTGACCCTGCAGCTCAACTGGTTAGCTATCACACTGGCTAGAGGACCTGGAAGGACAACGGACATTTTGTTTAAAGCTGGCTATCACACTGGCTAGAGGACCTGGAAGACAACGGGCATTTTGTTTAAAGTTCGTGCTACACCGGACTTACTATCTCTCAGAGAAGGAATTTTGCCCACTTTAACATAATTTAAGTTAGGGCTTTGTCAATATATGATAGTCGACATCAAATTTTATACAGGTATATGAAAACTTTTAGGGTAATCAAGAGTTCGGGCAAAAAATGATAAATTTACTTTCCTTCCCTAAGGGATTAATTTCCAAATTACGTACATATATGATTAAAACGCGTTTCTTATGTCTAAATTCTGGTGAAATGCCTGCATGAGGCTTACCGCTACTGATACGATTGATATGACATTTTTACTGGATTAAAAACCCGAAGAAAAAAACGCGCATGGTGTTTCACAATTTGTATTAGATTTTATCAGATGTGTTTAACTGGTTGGGAATCTGCTCGCATCTTCATGCGAACTTAGTTGAAAGAGGCAACTGTTGCTATTACTCATGATTTTAATTATTCTCAAATACATATTTTCATTATTTACACGAATCAAATCATGCATTAAGGTGCTTTCCAATCATAGATATATTGTAATACATGTCATTCACAAGCATTATGTAACAAAAAATAAATAAACAAACAATCAAATGTACTTCAACATAGCATCTTTATTTCATCTACAAAATCGATTAAAAAGAGGTCAGCTGGTGACTCAAGCAGTTCACGATTTTCCCATCGTCACAAGTGTGACATTTTTAATCGCCAGAATATTTCAAATTGCCAAATCGTGCGCAGAGGCTTGCCTTGTCTGAGTCACCATTCGCAGTACGCATTGGAGACGAGCTTAAGACCCCATTCCCATAGACAACATCAGTATACGTGAATCGATCCAGCTCTGCAGGAACTCTCGGTAACTGCAATCAGCTTAATATTCAACTGACACGCCTCCCCTTGGTCCTCGTACGAGTACGTTGAGAATAAGAGTAAGCGTGTCATTCAGTTGATTACACCCAGCAAGGGTGACAGCAGAGTTGGGTCTTTTCAAGTAGACCGATCCATATGGTGTTTACGGGAACGGAGTCTAACTTTAGCGTGAAATAGTTTACATGACGTCATCAGTCGATTTAATAAGTGGCGTGGGACTCAAAATCTAAAGGAGATATAGTTTCCCCCCCCCTTTATAATACCGATAAGGTCTATGAGTTTGGTGACATAATAAAATTAAGGGCCATTACACACAAAAAAGTAACTCTGTGAGCTACGTCAGAGATGCACACATTTGTGAAACATTTGCATAAGTGTTTTAAAGCTCATTTTTATTACTGTTGATTCCCTTTCCCATTGTAGGTAAACAGTGGAGAACAGCAAAAATAATAGGGCACGGCACAATTATGTAAATATTACACAAAATGTGAGCGAAATGCAAGTCGTGCAGCCGTAAACTCCCCTCAATGTGCTTATTTTGTTCCTTTAACCTTTAACTTCCTTCAATTGTAAATAAAACAATTGTCTATCCATCGGAACATTTAGACTGGTTCGGGTTCATTCAGCTCACGTACCCGTCCTACCTACACTGGTACAAAGTAATGTGTTACAAGAGTCTTGTCAGACCGGTTCTACAACGACAAATATAAAATGTATGTTCTCATTCCCAGTGAAACTTTCGGTTTATGTAGATCGATCCAACTCAGACTTTCGCTGAATGCAGCCAGATTTACTGAGTGACCAGTCATCTTCCTGGTGCTGAGTAGAACACAGAAAAGCTGGTGATTATACGAGTACATTGGACACAAGAGGAGGCGTGTTTAGCTCTTAGACTGATTGCATTCAGCAAGGGTCCCCGTGGAGTTGGATCGATCTAGATAGACCGATCGTATTTATGGGAATGGGCCCTATGACTCATTGCAGTCCGTAGGGAATGCTGTTAGCTACATGTGATGGCGCGAGGAAAAGTTAAACAAAATATATCTGATGAGCTTGCCGTTAGATATGATTCTGCAAAATAAAACAGCGTGGTCGGGATAGGTTGCGGTATATAAACTACGGATACCGAGCATTTATCTAAATGTAAAGCGCCGAAATGTGTATCAGCCTGTCTTGATAAATGCCAGTTCCGACCTGTCCTGTCCGGTGTATTAGCGCGGTCGTGTTCACACTGCCTTAATACTGGTCTTTAATTTAAAGCCACTTTTTATTGTACACACTTTAAAGATGATACGTGCTCATCACTGACTGTTTTGGTTTTAAACTTGTGCCCGGCTGTTTTGTCTCAGTCCCCCCCCCCCCCCCCCCCGCCACACCGAACTCACTACAAAATCTTGATTAATATCTGCAAGCCACTATTATATATTAATGTCTGGGAGTCACTTTTGCATACGCTACGAGGGAAAATAAATCTAGGGCTGCCCTCACGAGTGCAGTTTTAGACACGAATGCAATCAGATTATTGACATGTGTTTTTCAAATTTCTGCATTTTCTTTTCCATCATTCCCTCTAAAGGAAAGGTTTTCTTATAAGGAAAATCACATTCATGATATGTAAATCAGCGCTGTCAATCAAATCCATACATAGGCAAATAGGGGAAAAGGGAAATTGGGCTCCCATAAACGCATTTACTCTTTTTTGTTGGTTTGTTTTGTAGAACTGCTTCTAGGCGATATTTTATTAGTTTTTATATCACAATTTTCGAGGAATCTCTCTCTCTCTCTCTCCTTCCTTAAAAAACCTATAGCAGATTTTACGAAAACGACTAAAGGAAAGCCTATCGACCACCTTATCATCTACCAACCTGAACTTCCTTCACCTTAGTCGCCTTAACATAGCAGCTTATAAATGGATCCAGGTTAGCCCGGTTAAGGAGCACTGATGCCTAAAGGATGCAAGGTGCAAAACATCAAGGTCTACACGCAGAGCTCATCTTTATACAAAAGATTTTTGTCAATGCTTATTTTACTTGTATTGCTGTCTATAATATTTCATACAAAAATTTACTGTCACTACCCGCAGCACAATATGCGGAATGACATACATTCATAAGGCTCGTTCCCACTGAACTCCGCAAAGACTGTCGCTTAATGCATCATTTTAACAGATGAACGGAACAAGCTTCAGCCTTAATTGCGTTGGGTAGGATACAGAAAAACTGGTGATTATACGATTACTTTGGAAACAAGAGGAGGAGTATTAGTCTGTTAACCTGATTGCATTCAGCAAGAGTCCTAGCGGAGTTGGATCGATCTACGTAAACCGATAGCTTCAATGGGAATGAGCCCATAGTCTGCCCTGGCTGCGTGCGTGGAGTAAGGATGAGATGTGTATAACAATACTGCCTGCACACTGATATTTCAAAAGCAAAAACAATGAACGCTGCGGGTCAAAGGGAGCGTTCACAACCAGTTGCCGCGAACTAATTATTCTTCTGATTAAACATGTGGCTCACTTGAAGGCAAGCCGTATAACCCCGTAACAATTATTTAATAAATTCCCCGCTTCCCACTTGCGCCGTCCCAGCAGGGGCGAGGCAATAAAATTTCAGAGAGAGAGAGAGAGAGAGAGAGAGTCTGGGTAAACAGAGTTCCACAATATACTAGACGACAAAACAGCAAGTCTCTGCAAAGAAAACAACGCCAATCCTTTTCACATTAGCCGGATTCAAGTATTGCACCGTATGACATGGGTTTTTTTCTATGTAACCTAACTGGACTTGATTATTTAACAAGCAATAAAAAACCTGTTACTGACGCAATGCTGTCGTGCTTCCGTGTATACTTTCTTTTAGGGCAACTACTGTTGAGATCTAAATACAATGGAAATCATAGCTTGAGTCATCTATTTAAACTGGTAGAGTTAATTTGGAGATTTATATACCGGTAACCTTACAACCCATCTACCGGTATTGTATAATGTGCTATAAAGATACAGGCAATCGGCTTTACGTGCAGTATTTGCGGTTTGCTGACAGCAACGTCGTGCAATATTGATGTGTTGTGAGCTGAATTGCAGGGAAGCCAGCCAGCATATACATAAAGCAACCAGTTACAATAGACCAGAAAAATGTATTATTGTCTCTAAGGCAGCTCATCGTATCAAAAATTTGCTGTCACTATCGACAGATGCGCAAGCAAGTATATAAGCACGCAGTCGCACTCACTATCACACGCAATGTTTGAAACTGACTATAGCACATACACGCGCGCACGCATGCAAGCACACATACGGGTACACACACACACACACACACACACACACACACACACACACATTTTCCAACGGCTGCATCTGCAACAGATCTCACACAGTGGAGACATTTGCATCTTTCACTCCAACACTATAAATTCCAAAATTTAACAATATCCGTCCAATTCAGCGGTTGTAATTTAAAGACAGAGCCAAAGGGGTAAGCTACGTGTAGAAGACGTAAAACGTAATCAGAATTTTATGATTAAGACATTAATATGTAGGACACTACTCCAAACAGATAAAACAGGAAACATAAAACTTACACCCCATTCTCATAGATTAGATCGACCTACATTGGATCGACCTAACTCCCTGGGGGTTCACGCTAAATAGCTGTCAGCCGGGCGGACACGAAAGTTAATTACCCCTTAAAGCTTGTAGTAGGCGGGGACGGACACTTAAGGGGGATTATCTGACAGTAATCTAGTGAGACTCCCCGCGGTGATAGATCGATCTAAAAGTTGTGAGAACAGAGCCTTAAACGCCATCAA